AGCTAGTCTAGACAATCAGCAGGCTCCAGTTTCAGTGAAAGTCCCCATCTCAAAAATTAAAGTGGAGACTGGAGAGAGGATTTGTGGTTAAGAGCACTGATTGCTCTTCAGAGTACCAGGTTTGATTTTCAGCACCCACATGTTGGCTCACAATTCCAGGGTACCCAATGCCCTCTTCTGACCTCTTGGAACACTGAACACATAGCAAAATACCCATATACATAAAAATAAAATACATTTAATAAAACAAACATTAAAAAATAAAATGGAGACACTATTAATAAAATCATCCCAATGTCAACCTCTGGCCTCCTTAATCCATACACCTGTATGTGCACACACACACACACACCACATACACAGAGAGAGAGAGAGAGAGAGAGAGAGAGAGAGAGAACTAGTGACTGGCAATGGCCAGCTAACAAGCAAAATCAGCATTATTTGGCAAATTGCAATCAAGATAACATAGGTCATGATTTTGCTAATTATCCAACAAGTCCTGGCATGTAGAAAGACACAAACATGTCTGTTTCTGGCACAGCATGCTCCTAATCTTCCGTCTTGAAGGAGGTACCATTCTGCTAATCACAAAGCAGGTTCTCCGGGGATCACAGAGCCAGCACTTTGCAGCTCAACCATTTTCTTCTCCAAATGTATGTGGATACTTGGAACTGGAGGGTTCAAACCAATGTACTTGTCTCCTAAAACAGTCTTGTCTTCTTCCACACTCTGTGTTTGAATGTAGACAATCTACGAGGACTCCAGGCTTCTGGAGAATTCTAGTAAACAGTAGAGCCACATATTGGAAGCAGTAGATTCCAGGGTCTCAACCAGGTAAGAGATTTGCCAAGACCTTCTGGAGCTCACAGTGCTTCGAGAACCCATGGGGAGGCTTGGAAGGAGGGCCCAGAGGGTCAGACTTAGGATTTTGCCCAAGTCCAGCAATACTTCTCTAAGCTCTGTGCTGTTGTTCTGGAAAGTCATGCCTTGAAGCCAGAATCCCATTACTTCACTCTGCTCTAGTCCAATTACATTTTCCCTCTGCTATAAAGAAGGCAGTGGTCCCAGAGAGTCTCTGGTAAGATCTTACCACAAGAAAATTCCAATATTTACTTCCAAGTAGGAGTTCCTTTCAGAATTACTGCCCTAGGAAGGCTGTGCATGTATATAAGTCATACTTTGCCTGCCAAGGGCTCAGCTCTAATGGGTAGAGTACTAATGGTTATTAATATTATTGATTTATCTTTTAAACAGCGGTTATTCCTAAACCAGCTGTATACCCAAATTACCACACAGAGACTAGGATGTATTTAATTAACCTAGAGCACAATGCTGGGCAATTATTACTCCATCCAGCCTGCAGCTTCCTCCCATTCAGATTTCCCATATTATACTTTTTTTTTAGTCATATCTTAGGTCCAACTCACTCCTCCTGATGTTTCCATGCCCTTTCCTCTGGATCTCTCCTCTCACTCCTTTCTTTCTCCTCCCCTCTGGACCAGGATGTCCCACCCTATTTCACTCTGTTGCTCAGCATTGGCTGGTTGGTTTTATTGACAATACAGAGAACAAATGGTAGCATATTTACACAAACTTGAGACAGGTGATGCTTAGAATAAGCATCATAATGCAATGCCCATTCTGAAACCAGATCTTGCGGTAGAGAAATCAGCATTTGAATCAACAGGGATAAATTGTACACATTCCGCAAGAACGTTATACCAACACTAGAGTTCAAAGAATGAATGACAGGATGGGAGAAAAGTTCATGTCACATCACAATTGTGGCTAACATTGTTCTTGCCCATTTTTATCCCACCATATGCAACAAGGAATAAACTAGGTGCTAAGGTCATACACATGGCATTTTCAGAAAATCCTCCAGCGTTTCTATGGCCTAGTTTCCACTGGCCAAGTCAAGGTAAGGAAGAAATGTTGAAGAATGGAACGGCTTGATTTCTTTGTGCCTGCATTCATGTATGTACACCGCCTGTGTGCCTGCACGGGTTTATGTGCACCGCCTGTACAGGTGCTGAGGAGGCCAGAAGACATCGGATGCCCTGAAACTGGAGATATAGGTGATCACGTGCCACTTGGTGTGGGTGCTGGGAAGTAAATCTGGTGGAAGAGCAGAAATCACTGTGGGCCCCGGGTGACTGGAAGATGAGACTGCAGAAAGCGGAAGCCACTGCTTAGGTGAAGGTAACGGTGGTGTGAGTCATAGAGGGAAACGAGGGCCTGTCCCCTGTCGACTAGGCAGAGAAGAGCCTCAGCCAAATTCCACCTTCAACGCTGCTCTGCAGAAAGAATTCTGGAGGTACTAGAGCTTTGGGGAAAAGAACAGTAAGGGCAAGAGTTGTCAATTTCCTGTACTGGCTTACCTGATGCTCAAATCCAAGTTTGGGGGGAGGAGGCCGTTGACAAGAGCAGAGAAAAGCTCTTTCAGAAAGGAGGTCAGTCAAGGGGCTGGGACAAAGCTTGATATTAGCCCAGGCATCACACACACACACACACACACACACACACACACACACACACACACACCTTCGCTTGGATTGCTCACGGACATTTCAAACTGAGCATTCTAAACTAAACTTGCTGTCTCCAACCCTAAAATTCTCAGCTTGCCTGGCTCCTTGTGAATACAGAAACATCATCCATACAGTTCCCATCCCTAGAAACTTACATGCCTGCCCTGGTTAACTCCCTCCTACAAATCCAGCCAGTTCTGCGGATGGTTTCTGTGTCCTTGAGTTTGTGAATCTGCCTCTTCTCCACAGAATTTTTCCCTGAGGTCAGGCCTCGCTCCTTCCTCACTCCAGTCTTCATTTCCACCCCGTGATGCCTCCCGATGGTCTGTCATGCCAGCCTTTCTAAATACTCTTCTGCTTTGGGGTAAGTTCTAGCACAGTTGGACCTAGTGTGCCCGTTGTTCCTTCTTGTAGTGGCAATGATGGTGATTCCAGGAAGCATGATGAGGAACTTGGGGTCTGTTTGTTTGTTTGTTTGTTTGTTTGTTTGTTAAGTGGGTGCTTCTCTGAGACTGGGCCACATGGCCCTGAGGCTTACCTGGGTTACATGGGAATATCAGAGGCCTCTGTACCCTAAATGACTCTCACACGAGATTTGCGTTTTGGTCCTGCACACGAGCGGACACCGTCCAGAGGAACTTGCTCTCCCAAAATGACTAGAGCATTCCCTCACCAAAACCCCTGGTCCAGAATTGAGACTTCAGAAACATGGCAGGTAGATTTCTGATTGTCCTGCTCTAACATCTTCAGATGCTTCCTGCGGGGACAGTTAACATGCTTGACGGAGGATGTAGCTCTATGGTAAAGTGTGTTCCTAGCATGTGCCAAGTCCTAGACCTTCAGCCCTTCACATACACACGTCCAGAAGTGCAGGTGAGTGTGTGTACAGGTACCTGCCCCGCTAGCCTCACGAAAAGATCTTCCGCCTCTCCCTATGGGTCCTGTTGGTCAGCGAGAGGCTCCTCCCCTCCCCGCCCCTTTCTTTTCCTTGTGTCCCTGCTTCCTAGGTGCCACAGCCTTCCGTTCAGGTGTTGCCCTGCTATCTTCGCTCCTCTGAGAAGTGTGGGTACTGCTTAGGTGGCGCTAACACGTGTCTGTAAATGATTCTGACTCTCATTTTCACACATGGGAAACTGAGGCACAAGGAGGTCCGGCGGCCACTAAGGGCGGAGCTTGGATAGCGGGGGGACAGACTAGTCTGCTCTCCCGCCCCTTAACCACCCTGCAGCTGCCTTTCCCACCTTCCAGAACTTGACCTTCTCGGCCCAGGAGTCCCGAGCAGTAGCCACAGGAAGATGTATTCCGACTCCTGAAGCAGAGTAAAGCAGCAGAGCCAAAGTTGGTATTATTCAAAGCGTAGGCAAGGTCCTAGGGCTGTAGCCACACCATCTGGTCCCACGCCAGTCACACCAGCTTCAAGCCAAGCCCAAGCACCTTGACCTCTTCGGGGCTGCCTCGGTGCCACCATCGCACCAGAGGCGTGGCTGGGATCCTAGGCTAGCTGGCCGCCACAGAGAAAGGAGGAGGAGCATCAGGCCCAAGCGGGAGCTCTCGGAAGGCAGCGCTTCACCTTCCCGCCCCGAGCCACAGATCCCGGGCTCTTGCTGCTCCCTGGCGGCAGAAGCCGGGAGCCCGGAGCCGCGGGGATCGCACCTTGCGCGCACCGCCAGGGCAAGGGCAAGCACAGAGTGACCGCCAGACTGGAGAGAGGGAGGGAGGCCGCGGGAGGCGGCGGGGGCACGGGAGACCCGGGTGCCGGAGAGCCAAGGAAAGGAGGACACGCGGACAGCGAGCACCGGCGGGGACCGCTGCAGCCGCCGGCCGAGCGCAGCCCCTTCTCCGGCCCGCAGCTCCCGCTCGCTGCGGCCTCCCCTCCTCCCCACCCCACCCCCCGGCCGCCCCTCCTCCGTCCCGCCCCCGCGCGGAGTCCCCAGCGCCGCAGAGGCCGCCGCCAGCCCTGCCGCTCCGGGAGCCGCCGCCGGCCGGGACGCGCCGGGAGAGGGGAGCAG